TGTAGGTTTATAGAAATAGATTTTCTACATTATATCTTGGTAATATATGTGTGTAAAGTACCATGTTTGAGTATTGAATATATAATTACTTTGATTGGGTACTAGTGATTTGAATTACTAATAAAATTATGTTAATTTTCAGATCCATAACTTCACCGGTTCACACAGTGTCCTCGTTGTTGCTTTGCGATGCTCCAGGATTTCAAAATCCTGCTACCTGTGGGCGTCAAACGGGAGCATGTTTTGAAGATCTGTGTCATAATTATCTTCAGGAACGTTTACAGCTTCTATTTCACCATAGTACTTTAGTTGCACCCAAAGATAGGTACGGCTACGTTCATTGTATTTTATAAATTTGTTTAGAATTATGTTCAATTTACAATTGCCAATACAATATTAACGAACGTTTTTATTTTTATATCAGATATGTACAAGAGGGGATTGATATTGATCACGAGGATGAAATTGAAGAAGGAGTTGGATCGCCTCAAGCTTTGGTTTCCTTACTAGATAGAGGAAATTCGCAAAGTGCTACAATGTTACGAACAAGTCAAAGCGATCTTAGCAGTAGCAGACAGATGGAAAGAAAAGGACTGTTGTGGCTTCTTGATGAAGAGACCGTTTGTTCTGGAGGAAGCGACGAAAGCTTTTTGGACAGATTATTTTCTCATTACGGGGATAGAGGTGATAGCATATTTTAATGAGTAATACTCGAATTAAATTGAATTAATATTTATGAATTAGATGATCGATCAATTACATTAATTACTTTTATTAATGAAATTATGTATAATGTTTTTGGAGCATAAGCCAAGCAAATTATTATATATTTATTATATTTCACTTGAATCTAATGCAGCCTAATAAGGATTGATATTAAGTATTTTTTGATAATTCTATTTGCAAATTTTCATATGTGATTTAGATCATCAAATGCTGCTTAGAAAAGCTCCAGGGAACAATCAGTTTGTATTACAACATTTGCAAGGAACAAATCCCGTTCTTTATACAGCGACTGGTTGGCTAAAAGCAACTCGAGAAAATCCCCTTACAAAAAGTGCAATCAGTATTCTACAAGAGAGTAACAGGTAAGTGTTTAATAAACCAAACAGCCAATAATGTAGAAACTATCGTTTAGTATTTCTTGTAAATCATGTAAATATATTGCAGAGACGAAGTAAGCAGACTTTTTGTTTGCGCTCGCGGTGCTGGAGTTTCTGGTGCTTTAAGTGGTTCTGTTCATGGATTAGAAGGTTCTCAATCTTTGCGACGAGCTTCCAGTATAAGACGAACTTTTACTGCCGTGAAGCGAAAAAACATTTGCTTACAAATAAAATTCACTGTCGTAAGTCTTTGCATTTTTTATAGATTAAAAAAAAAAAGAAATAAAAATTGGTGCCATCGATACGTTTATATTGTTTAGTTAAGAGAATTAAATAATGACTTGTGCGAAATTTTTTACAATGTATAAATGATTACGAAGCGAAAATTAGTCGGTCATTGACAAATAAGTTATCAGTGCAAATTGTCTTGCCATTATAAATATTTAATTCATGAAATATGGCCGTTGTTATTTAACTTAACGCATTAAATAAATCCGTCATTAACAAATTTAACGCTTATAATATACTCGCGTGTTTTCACCATGTTATTTATATTGTTATTTATATTTGTTTCAATTTGCTAAAATATATATTAGTAAGGAATATGCGAATAATTTTCTTTTACAACTGTGCAAATAATAATTTATATTTTAGGATGGTCTTATTGAAACATTAAGGAGAACGAGAGTGAAATTTATTCATTGTTTTTTACCACAACACAATGCAGGATGTACGGAAAACAAGAGCGTTTTGTCCGTTAAGTCAAATCATAACGAAGACAATTTGATTAATATTCCATTGTTACGATCCCAGGTAACGAAATGATAAATTAACTCGATATTAAATTTAAAAATAAATGTAATTGAAAGATTTTATAATAATACTATGTTTATTTATGCTGCTTTAAAATCAATTGTATTAGATGCAAACATAAGTGTTTAACAGAAGTGATAAACTATATTTAATATTACAGTATTTTACTTGTAATAATTATATTTGAATCTTAATGGCTTTAAATGCGATTAATTAAACACTGAATATGTAGTTTAGAAATAAAAAATGAATATATCAATGCATGTTTAATTAGTATATTTTTGGGTGAAATTAATTTAATTTTCATTATTATTAATTTCAAAATTGATAAAATAAAATGTTTCAATCTGTCTTCAAAAGATAAACTTTGAAATAGATTCCTGCAATTATTCATTTTCTATATAATTCTATTACATAGCATTAATCCATTGCTTAAATATCAAATTTGATATTTTAATAAAAGAATATGAGATAAAGTATATAAATAAAATGTGGTATTAAATAATCAAGCGAATAATGATTTATTTACTTCCCTTGAATTTTTATTCTATTATAATATTATATATTACAGTATGTAAATTTTCTCTTGCTTTTCGCGTTATTGTAAATAATTTAATTTGTTATGTAAATAATTAGAAAAGTTAATAATTAATTTTATATTCATAAATTGTTATATGATAAATAGTTCTTTGAAATGAAAACTGAAAAATTATATTTATTTATATTATTTAAGAAAACTAATGTATGTATGTGTGAATTTCTGAATAAACACAAATTAGTTTCTTAAAATTTTACAATAATGTTCAAACAATGAAATTACATAAATTTAAACGGACATGATCATACTTTCAATAGTAGAATAACAATTTTTTTGCAGGTAAGAGGTAGCCAAATTTTGGAAGCCGTTCGACTTCATAAAGTCGGTTTTCCAAAGTTCATGCCTCTTAGTGAATTCAGAAGACGCTTTGCATTATTATCCAGCGACTCTGCAGCTCGTCCTGGAAGTCCAGTGGCAGACGAACGACGAGCTGTTGAAGATATGCTTTTATCCGTTGATGTCGATCCTGCTTCTTATCGAGTCGGTCAGAGTCAGGTAAAAGCATAATTCATAACAAGTTTCAAAATGATTTCTAATTTACGAGATTCGTATATCAGAAATGTTAATATTCCAAGTGAGAAAATATTAGAATTCAAAAATTTATAACTACATAAGTGAACGTGAAGAATTGCTAAGATTTTCAATCTTACGTGTCTCTTGCCCTCTTCGAAGCACACAATTGGTAAATAAGTTTAGTGATTTTCTTCTTTATACGTATAATCTCGAGCCTTACATCACTCTTTCATTCTACATGTGTGCGCGTGTGTACAAAAGTGAAATTCTATATTTTTATGTCTTTGAGAATTTAAAATGTTAAAAATTTACAAATAAGCATATACATTGTGTTTCAATTTACAAGCCTATAAAATTTTAATAAGAAAATAGTTTTATTACGAGATTTCATTAGAGAGTAGTTAAAGTTTTATTTTATTACTTTTTGAATTTCAAATGTTAAACGATGAATATTTTATTTTTCCATCAAATATCGGTTAGGACAGATCTTTTTTTCAGAAACATAATTGAATTATGTACTACAAAGCGACGAGCTATTTTAATTTATTAAGAAATGTCATGTCAAACTAATTACTTTTAAATACAAATGAATTATTCGTGCGTATAGTTTAGGAGGAATTTTACGATACTGGTTTCTTAACTTTCTGTTTAAAAATGTCTATAATTTATAAATCCAAAAAATCAGCATTATTTTCAATAGCTATGTTATACAGTTGTGCTGGAAACTCAATATGACATGATAAAATGGTCAATTTGTACATGCTATGCTATATAAATACATTGTATATGAGTTCACATTATCTATTATAATATCTTTAATGTAAAAGTGTCTGTTTTCTTGTTGAGTGTCATATGCACGTTTTTGTTTTATATTATTATTTTTTGTTTTGGGAGAGGGGTGGATCGATCTAATGTTTTCGCCAGGAAAAAGTACGCGCAATCGATTTTTCTTATCGTATGCGCAACAAATGCGGTTGTGACAGGGAGATCCGTTAGTCATCGCGCAAATTTTTTCCATTTTCATGCTGTTGGCGGATATTCTAAGCTTAGGTCCTCGGGACCCAATCGGAAACGCGGCATTCACCAATATTATCAAACGCGTACTTATACTAGGGACGAAAGCAGTCACCGAGACAGAGGTTGGAGCCTACAAGTCAGACGAGTCTGTCTACGAGTATGTAAAGGCAAATAACGGTGCCGAAGCTCGTGCAACGTCTCGGTGAATGCATTGTGATCTAGCTCGAGGAATCTCCAGAGGCGCTCGCCAACCTCATGCCTTCTAAGTAAAATGAGAGAAGGACCTAGAAACGCTTGAATAGATTTCCGAGGCCACGATTGTTAATTATCCTAGTTAGACTTTTAAATTTGCCAACATCGTTTTCGGAGTGACATATTGCTACTATTCATTCAGCGTAAAAATTTCCAAACGTCAATGTTTACGGATGATAGATTATATTACAAGCTAAATTTCTACTTTATATTCCTTATTCAATTTATTAAACAAAATTAAAAAGTCAAATCATGCAAATAATTTGTTTTTTAATCTTTGATGTGAAAAAAAAGAAGAAATATAGTTATGTTATACATATATATCGCATTTATTGCTATCATATACTTAAGAGAAAAAAAAACTGAAAATATATATTTATAAATGCTAAAACATATTCATTATAATAAATGGTAATATTTTGTTGTTTTACATCTATGTCTCTGCAATTCTATAATCGAAATATAATCGAATAATAAAAAATTATTCGTAAAGTAAGTAATAAAAAAGATCAAAAGTCATACGATTTAAAAACAAAAAAAAGGAAAAAAACGTGAATTTCTAGAAATTTTTCGTACTTCGCTTAAATCTTTTCGAGCCAATTAGATTTTTTCTTTCGAAGATTTTCTGCCGATAATTGAATTCAAACAAAAAAGATTTCGAAAAATTGTAAATTAATTAAGTCGAAATATTGCTGATAAATTAAGAATTTTAAGAATTCAGTTGTTAATTAAAAATTCAATCGCAACATAAATATTCCTCCAAAAAAATCCTCAAATACAATCTTATTTTTCAATTCCTTCTTCATATAGAACTTTCGTGTAAAAGAATCATATAAAAATTGAACAAATTTCAAGTTGAACCACCTCACATTATATTATTTCATGTAAATTCAATAGGAAATCCGAATAACTGTAAATTAAAGTCTTTTAATTTATATAATTTGATTTTGTAAAATCATGCAGGAATGTCTCGGTGGACCATCATGTATTTTTTTCGGTAAACAAATAATTCTGATAATGTACAGAACAAAAAGCAAATACATCGCATATTTCGGAGCCTAAGTAAACATAAACCGAGCTTCTGAAAATATTGAAATAACACAAACTCGTACTTTTGAATAATTAATATGCATACTAGAGATACGAGAAATCACTTTCAAATAATGCATTAGCCTTAAGTACATATAAATTACCTATATTATTAAGTGCCACGTACTTATTTTATATTTATCTTTTCCCTTGGCAATCTTTTTTATATTTTTCAATATCATATTAATCGATGTGTTAGCTGTTACATAATCAACATGTGTTTTTATCAAACTTTTAATCGTTTCTAAATAAACCGGAGAACTTGGTGAATTGCTAATATTAAAATTAACCATACGAAATTACACGGCTCTTTTAGTTCTTTTTAATTAACGAATTTTGACGATTGCAAATATATTAAAAAAAAAAAAAAAAAAAAACAACAACAACAACAACAACCACAACAACCATTAAAATATATCTTAATGCACGTCTAGAAACACTTTCAATGTCAAAATTCGCAGTAGAAATTATAGATTATAGCGTGCGAATTGAAATACCCACTAATAAAACACTTCAGACTTCAGTCTTTAGAAATTCATGTATTCATAAATAGCAATTTCTCGGTGTTGTAAATCATTTACAATTCACAAATAAAGAACGAGGTTCTATGTTCTGGGCCCGTGGATCTCGTTGTCATTGACTTAGCAGGGAGCCACGGATAATGTATACACGAGTTGCGCACGACAAATGTAATGAGATGGACAATCAAAGTGGCTCGAGTTGTGGATAGTTAGCAAGACAGTCATAATTTTACGTTATGAATTCCAATATAGAGAACGAGGCTCCGACAGACATAGCTGTTTTAAAAAAAATATCGGGCCTCAAATTTTTATCGACTTAATGAAAGAGTCGGCGAACGAATAACACATATTTACATCTTTCTTCAATTATATTCTATTGCTAATATAAGTTTGTTTCGACATATGATACCTTTATGCTCTAATGATATTAATTTGAATAAATTAATTATGAAGTGGTATTCTGAAATGTGATATTTCAATGCACACGGATTTCTAGTTTTATCAATGAAGGGAGTAGATCAGTGAATAACAGTCACTTCAAAATATCAATAATATTACGTAATATTTAAGAGATTTGTACGTAGATGAATCTGGACAATTAGTTTGTCAACTATTACAGACAAAAAAATATCTAAAAATTAGAATATTATTATGATGTAAATAATAAGAAAGAAAAAAATCAGTACTGCAAACATATACTGATGTTTCAACATCAGCCAATTCTAAAAATACTATTTCATTACTATAATAAGATTTTATTACCGAAGAATATGCTATATTTTCCTTAATTTAAAATATCTTTGTATAACGAGAGCATTAGACGTAGTGTTTCGTATGTAAAAATAAATCTTTATCAACATATTTACAAAATAACTTGTATAGTCTAATCATTTATATTTTAGAATTGGGTGAACAAATCAATGCATTAAAGTAAAAAGACGATAAAACTTTATTATAACCAATTTTGTGTCTTTTTATTCGTATGAGCGAATTTATTTTTATGTTATAATTCTGAATCTGTTATTTGGAAAGCAATTAATTACAAGCAATACAAATGTCATTAGGTAATATATCGAGCAAGAATTTATTGTATTAATAAAGATTAGTTTGTATGTATAAAATAAAATATTGCATAGAATATTCTTAATTTTATAAATTATTTATTTTTATAATATTGGAAAATCGTTTATATTTACATGCACGTATATAATAGATTTAACGTTCCCAAAGATTATTTATGAATCAAAGTGACGTAGAAAGAACGCTAGGTATTCCAGAACTAATAAAAAATTTAATATCTTTTTTGAAAAACTTAAATAATAATAGAATAAAATGGAAACACGAAACACAAACAATATAAGATACATAATTTTTCAGTATCGTTTATTATGTAAAAAAATTATTGTGCTTAATTATTAAATATTGAGTTATCGTGTTAGAAAGTGAAAGTCGTTTTTGAAGATATCGCGACATATTATAACCAAACATATTGTTATGATTTTATACAGATATCAGTGAGGTATGGATAAATTAATCGGTTCGCACTACTTATCGCTTGTACTCTATTCAAATGCACTCATTAAAATTAATTCAAAGCTTTTCCATTCTAATGTCCAGCTTGCAACATTATGCGTTACTTTCCAATTCGGTTTTCTCGTTTACCATTAGCATATGGATGCATATGTGTTCGCAAATTGAACGGACTTCATTGTACACTTTCTCGACAATTATACATGCTTGACATGGTCGATTATTACTGCTATTGGCTGCACTTTCTATGATTGAAGAAGCTTTTACAGCGGCTTGGAGAACCTGTTTACAGTGTCTCATGTCCTCTTCGCTCGGCGAAACGCTTGATTTTTCAAGCCTATTATTATCGATCTGCCTTGCCAAGTGCTATTGTTCTTGATATTATTTTTCAAAATAATTTTTTTATCACTCAGCAATCGGTATTTTCAATACAATTACCATGTAATACCTTGACAGTACAAAATAAAGTCTTAATCCGTTAGAAGATTTTTTATGTAAATTTAACGCTACCATATAGAATACCATATTTAACAAGGAAATTATTGATAATGATATTGAAAAATACAATTAATT